CTCTCAGTGGATACTGATTGCATATTGGATATCTTTGAGTCATGGTAAAAAAGCACCAATAAAAGACTATGGATGAGTGTTTGCGGATAACAGCAATTGCAAACTGACGATATGAATACGTACCTGAGCGGTATCAGCTCCGCCAGTCAAATATGCTCCTCTTAAAATTTCCTCAATAGAAACTCTCTTCATCGGATTAATGGCTAACAGTTTCTGAAGAACGTGTCTTGCTTGAGGATCGGCTACCTTATTAACAAGCAAATCAAAGTGTCCCGTATTATATGCTTCCAATAATCTAGCGGCAGCCTCTTGCTCGTTGGAGAAGAGGGGACGTCTAGTATACAATTCGTATATCGTACATCCAAACGACCATATATCCATCGACATATCAGCTTTAATGCTAACGCGCAATGTAGCCGCGTTGATTACTTCAGCTGCACAAAGAAAAATATTATTAATGAATAAATAATGACGAATGCTTGAAATCACAAATCACCGCTCGATACTTCGTGCTACTTACGCGACGAATATTTTAACGTGCAATTGTCAACATCTTCTTCTCCATTAACTCTCGCTGCCTCAAAATCGATCAATCTCCACTTTGTCACATCTCCATTCTCGTGTACAAAGTTTCCTGGTTTAATATCCAGATGCACTATCCCATGGCTATGAACATAATGGATTGCTTGTGCTAATGACTTAACTACCATCTTCACGTATAATGCATCCATGGCATCTGTTCTACTAACGATAAATTTATCCAAGCTCATAGGATAATAGTCCATTATCATTACATATTTCCATTCGGCAGCATTGGAAATATCGAACAAATCGCGAAATTCGCCAACAGATTTCGATCGAAGGTACTTCAACATGATAACCTCGCGCTCGAATGAAGCATAATTTGCAAAGAACTTTATCGCTACATTTTGACTCACAGTCTCATCCTCGGCACGACGAACCGAGTTATTGCCACCATATGCTGGAGCCCCGTTGAGTCTGTACCTGTTGAATATAAGTGTGCCCGCAGGAGCTGATGGAGAGATTGAAGAGGCAGATGTAGATGTGAATGGAATGGTAGTCACTTTATACCGAGCGTAAATCTCGTTTGTGAGCATTGACGGAGAAGAGGTGGCAGAGTTTACATTCATCGTATGATTTGACGCTGAGGGTGGTTGAAAAGAGGATACTGAAGTTGTGACGGACGGAGCCAAGTACGGCTCACTCTGAAAACTAGACGCTTCAAATCTGGGCGGTCGGTAAATTTGCGAATTGTCACTTTGGGATCCAGTTTCAAAGCTGCTTCCGTAAGCCGCATTAAGTTTCACTTCTGTCAGTTGTTCGTCGTCATCCTTTTTCTTATTTTTTATCCATCTATACAATAAGAAGCCCGAACCTGCGCCCACAAGACCCACTGCCGCTACTATTCCGGCGACTAATGGAATAACCTTTCCCGCCGCGCTACTTGAAGATGTTGAGCCTGAATCACCACCGGCCGCATTACTTCCTGAACCGGCACCACCACCACCATTTGAAGATTTTGATTTTGTAAATGGATCTTCTTGACCAGGTGCAAGAGGTCCACCAGCAAATTGATCAGTAGGTATGTTATTTACGGTGTTGACTTGGGTAACCCAAGCTTTTTGAGTCATGTTAAATGCGGCCAAGTCAGAGGTTGCGAGACTACCACTGGCTTTTGAAAACCCACCGTAAGTCTTGAAAATTGGGTGTATGAATTTAGAAAAACGGATAAATAACCAATTGAGAGCTTAATAGACCAAAGATCAAAAACGTAACCAAACTTACGATCAAAACGTCACTACCAGGTAACTGTGCAGCCGCGTAATAGTCATGTCCGACAGTGGACATCGACCCGCTGTCAAAAGCTGTCATTCTATTATCGACTATTTTAAGAGAACGAAATCGGGATTAATTAAATTGCTCAAACTATTGTAGCCAGAAAGTTCGACTTTTCATTTATCGATCTTTTATGAAACTGTTCTCCTTCGATTCCAACGCGTAACTAGAAGCTTCACATCCTTCCCCAACTCACCCAAACTCCACACCCTCATTGATGATTTTTCCGTTGACGAATCACTTGAAACAATGTAAATTGTATCGTTAAGTTTCCCTGCATGTCCATCTACGTATACGGTAGACATGGAAATTTGCGGGTTAAACCATTTCCTGGTTGGAATGTTGAATGCCCAGATGTCGCTATAAAAGTCTCCATAACTAGTGCCTGTGAGCATTGATGTACCACCAATGATATAGACGTTATCTTTGGCAGAAGTAATGCAGAAGAGGCCATTGTACGGTGGAGTGTCAGGCTGTAATGAATAGAACCAAGAATCAAGTTAGAATAATTGGACCGTATCAATATCAAATTAACACGCTCGACGCGATTTAACCATTCATTCATCATTCAACTCCGTTCCACCATTGTCAATGCAGCATGATTATGGATTTAGCACTTTCCTAGCCTGCTACTTTATTATAGTGTTTGCATACTTACCCCTTTAGGAACAGTCTCCCAAGTCGAATTCTTTACATTTAATATATAAGTATCGTTTGACTGTTCTCCCCCAAAGATAAACATAACCTCTTCGCCCAGTGAGGTTTTCACGATAATAGACCTATGACTATCTCGATACAACAAGTTTTTAACTGTATCCAATCCCGTAGTCTTTGGCGTATACCAAGAGCCCGAAGTGCCTTTATTTAAATCAAAGGCTTGGATTCCGGTGAACACGAGTTCGTTTGAGTTTGCACCGCCTGTAGTGTACAAAATACCGTCTGACGTGACGGAACATGCTGGTCGAGTGACGTTTGCGGCGTTAGCTATAGGCATAGCAACCCAGTTGGGGTTATCTACGCTGAAAGGCGTCTCGATATAACTGAAGAAGGAATTGGTGAGGTCGTTACCCACGCCACCGTACACGTAAAAGCGGTTTTGATAAGCGAATGCACAGTGGTCGTGCCGTGGTCCTGGAGCTGGAGAGACATTAGTGTTTTGAGAATCGGAAAAAATAGGAAAAACGAGGAGAGTGAGAAGGACAAGAATAAAGACGGAAGGATATGGATTGGAATTAAACATGACGATAGGAATTTTGTGTAATTGGGGGATATTAATATACAGAACGCGTTTGCGTTTTGTTAATTAAGTGAAAAATGAATTAATGAGAGAGAATTCTTGTCCAAGAAAGATAAAAGAAAAGAACGTTGTAGTGTTGACAGAAACATCTTTGGAACACTTGTAAACATTTTGTGGACGTGTCGTATTCGAAATCCCAAAATTGGGAAACGTTTAATTTGCTTTTGATTGCTTACTTTTTTGTGCAAGCCATGCATCTTTGTCTAACAAAACGGACCAATCAAGAGAATGTATTAAATTTGCTAACCTGTTTACAATTCGGTATCACCGAATTAACTATTAATATAAATGCAGCTTAAGCATCACATTGGTGTAATAGTAATGCATAACATTGTTTAAAGCTTGATAAATCACAACTTAACACACATTGATGTATGGTTCATATTAACTGAAGGGTGTAACAAATTAAAATGCAGTTGTTACTTTCTATAGAACCACGGTTTTGATTGACAATATAAAAGAAGCAGTATGTAGAATGCGTATCTTGAACGTTTTACACAAATCGTAAAACCTATTCTCGCAAGATTTGTGTTATCTCGGGAATTTTTGTTACCCAATCAATACAACGAAGTAGTGATGGACCGACATACTGTATGTCTAGTTTTCGTCAATGCACTAGTTAATAATCAACTCTGCAAATACTTAAATAAAAACATACCCTTTTAATTATAGATTTTTTAAGGTTGCAATTGTTCTAACATTATTCCACAATCTCTACTTAACTCTTAATAGCAGATTTAATATTACAAAATAGACACGAAATAGAAGCTGTTGACGATTGAAAGATTTTAGTTGTTGTCAACTAGAAATATCAGCATTGCCGAAGGAATAATCGTGAACGAGTCGATGCACCAAAGTCGACGTTTGCGAATATTGAATGATTATTCCTTAAATTAAACCAATAATATCAATATCTCTTGTGTTCTAAAAAGTAGACTTCTTTCTTTGGTATGTCGTTCAATTCAAAAGTTAAGATATTCACGCGTGTCTTATAGAATATGTTTCAAGATTGTAATTTTACCTGTGTAGTTTTATATGTCTCAGAAATATACCGTATGCACTTGATTTTGATTGTTGGAACGTACGAGCACATCAAAAAACATTTCAAGATTGTAAATTCTTTCTACATATCAGTATTACTAATGCTTAGATTCTATCGTTTCACTAGCTAACTGTCTATTAAAATGATCTATTTTAATATTAAGGCATAATCCGTCATCCGCAATTACAAACTTTTAATTTTCGGGACATACTGTTTATTTGTTTATTGGTAAATTATGCAACAGTGAACATCAAAATTATCAAATGCGCTTCAGTCATGCTTTAAAGTTGGTTAATTAAAGAGAGCATGCTATCAACTGGTTTAGTTTCTGTTTTCCTATATTAATATCGCGTCACCCGCGTTAGACCGCTCACGGTACCTGTTTTCCTAATTGCATCCAAAAGTCTTTCGTAACTATTTTGTTGTCGGATAACCCTCGTGTAAGTAGATTCGGCATTACTCTGCTTTCTTTTTTGAGCCCTCAAGGTAAAGCGGAACGTTTCCGAATCCAACAAGATTATTTATACAATAGATTGGTTTGCTGTGTCTTATCTGATTGGTGTGAATAATGACTATCAGACTGATATCTTGCAAGATAACTTGTTCCATTTCTGTAAATCTATATTGATCTACTCGTTGTTCCGTTTATTATTTCGATATTAATTCCTTGTCGAGATTATTCTTTTATTATCCTGACATATTTTACAGATCTTCTAATACAATTATTGGGTACGTAAATACTTCTTAAAACCCTACAATAAAGTAGATGAGGTTATTCACGTACACCAACACGCATAAATAAATTCATACAGGATATACTATACCATATTTTGCTTGAGTTTCCCTCTTGGTCTTACGATTTGTAGCAAATTGCTCTTTAAGATCATTCTCCATTGACTTGGACTGATATGCTAGATACATAATATTATGCTTACGCTTTTGTCCTTTAGTAGGTTTCAAGTGCTATAATACATAAAAAACCAAGTCAGTACCGAAAAATGCAAATGTTCATTCATCCCATCATGATTTATACATACCGAATAGCTGCCGGTTGATGTAGCAGGTTTTGATATATCGGCAACCTGAGACTTCCACGCGTCAGCCAGCTGATCAGCTGCACTAATCTCCTTTATCTGTATTGGGCCTGCCCGCCCTCGTCTTCCGCCCAATTGTTGTAACTGTAATAATAGAATGACGAACAATGTTTAGATGGCAAATCTACAGCATTTAGGTCAAAAGTACATAAACACAGTTGCTTACCACATCATTATCAATTTTGGTCTCTGTTTGTTCCTGTCCCTCCTCCCGTTCGTTTGATATGCTATGATCGTAATAATACGTGCCATATGCATTACTACTACGTTCGTCATACACACCAGGCTCGCCATACGCACCAGGCTCGCCATACACACCAGGCTCGTCATACGCACTGTGGTCGTCAGATGCATATTGGTCAGTAGACAAGTGATGCTGCTTGTAATACGTATTAGCCTTAACAGCGCCAGTGCTGGCAACCTTCTTCGGAGCAGGCAGCAGATCCAGTAGCCCGCCTCCTACCTTCACCCTCTTTGTTTCTCTCTCTTCTTCACTCTCATTGCCCTCTGATATTTTCGGCAGATCAACGAATATTTTTACAGGCCCATCCCGTTTCCCTTTGGAAGACGCTTGACTTGGTGTAGTATAAGCGTTACTTTTTGATGGTTGCAGCTTGGAAGATATCGTTTCTTTTGAGGAATGTTTGGGTGGGGGAAGAAGGTTTAATAAGGAGCTTGATTGTGATTTTGATGAAGTATCAGGGGGAGGTGGTGAGGGAGAATCTTCATTCTCAGAAGAGTCGCTTTGATAATCAGCAACCAAAGACATTATTATGGGAAGTTGAGAGTGGGATTCTGTAATCACGTGTATAAAATAAATCTAGCAAAGAAGGTTACACAATGTCGAGCTCAATGTACAGTATTAGTATACTAATACAGGTATTAGTATATACATGTATATTAGATAATATTAATATGGGGTGAACATTTTATTATGTCAAATATATTATATTTACCTAAACCATTCCAGCGTTAATATAAGCTTTTCTTCTCTTGAGCACTGCCTACTCAAAAGTCAGCACCGGAGCAATCAATAACGTCATCATCATCAATCACAATCATTGGTCGAGATCATGTGCCGCACAGAGAAATTCATGT